AGGAGGCCTGGAGAAGTCACAGGCCCCCCACCCAGCAAGAACACGCCCAGGCCCTGGAGACCTCCCAGGGCTTCGTTCCTCAGAGTCGGCGCTTCCGGCAAGCTGCTCCCAGCCCACCTGTGCCGCTGGTCAGAACGCAGGCTCCAGGGCCTCCCACAGCGTCTGCAAACCAGGGCTGGGGTTCTGGGCTGTGCCTTTTTATAAAGAAACCTATTTTTATTGATTTCAGAGAGGAAGGGAGAGGGAGAGACAGAAACATCAAGGATGCGAGGGAATCGCTGATTGGCTGCCTCCTGCACGCCCCCTACTGGGGATCGAGCCCGAAACACTGGCATATCCCCTTGACCGGAGTCGAACCCAGGACCGTTCAGTCCACAGGCCGATGCTCTATCCACTGAGCCGAACAGGCCCGGGCTGGACTATGCATTTTTGAAAGCTCCCCAGGTGAGCCTGCAGCAGGCTCACTACTAGTAAGTCGGCAAACTGGTCAGTGCAGGAGCCGCAGCCCGTTTGCTCAGGGTCCGTGAGCTAAGAATAATTTACTTCATTTTTTTAATTTTTATGTTGGGGGTTGGGGAGGGTCCAAGAGGAATAATACGTTGTGACACATGAACTTCCTATGACATGCAAATTTCAGTGTCCAGAAATAAAGTTTTATTGAAACGGCCACACCCATCCGTTTCCCTATTATCTGTGGCGGCTTTCGCGCCATCACTGCAGAGCGGAGTAGCTGCGGCAGAAGCAAACGGCCCACAGAGCCTAACGTCTTTGCTCTCTGGCCCTTTCCGGGAGGAGTCTGCTGACCCCTGCTCGCCCCAATACTGGGACTGCAACCTGTAAAAGGTGTTAGCACAACCCTCTCAAATGACGTCTGGTTTATAAATTAAATACAAGCATCATTTTACAAATATGGAAAGTAGAATATAAAACGTACACACAAAAATACGAATAAAAAAAGGTACGAGATGAGAAAGAGCAAGGGCCAGGAGTTCTACCGGTAAGGTTGTCTCCCTGCACTCTCAGTGGCACGCTGCCCACACCCCACCTTGCAGGCCCCTGGGTGTGTTAGCTCATCAGAGAGGGGACTTGTGGGTGCTAAGGCCCATGGTTTGAGGGTTCCGGGAGTGCTGGGCTGGCCTGGGTGTGGGGGAGGAAGTGGGACAGAGAGACACAGACCAGTTCCCCTCTCCCCCAGAGGAAAGTCAGAAAGCAGGACACTGAGAAAAGCGGGTCCTATTCCAGGCAGGCCCAGGCCCTGAATTCTCTCCAGGCCTCAGACCTCTTGCCTAGAAGCTGGTTCTCACTTCCTGTCCACCAGGGTCCTGCCCTGTGACTCTCCCAGTGGAAAATGGGGTGGCAGCCCCGCCAGCGTGGCTCAGTGATTGAGCATCAACCGAATAACCAAGAGATCGCGGGTTCGATTCCCAATCAGGGCACATGCCTGGGTTGGGGGCTTGACCCCCAGTAAGGGGCGTGCAGGAGGCAGCCAATCAAAGATCCTCTCTCATCATTAATGTTTCTCTCTCTCTCCCCCCTCGCCCTTCCTCTCTGAAATCAATAAAAATATTTTTTTTAAAAAAGGAAAGAAAATGGGGTGCTGGAGGAGGAATGAGCAAGGAGGGGGGCAGAGCCTGCCCTGAGTCCTGGAGCAGAAGGAACCTGCAATCCTGCGCCCTGGAACCCCTGGCCAAGGCCTGAGGAGCTGTCCGGCCCCCGGAGTCCCCTCTGCCCATCCCCGCCCACAGGACAAGAGTTAACATTAAGCTGGGCGGGGCTAACACATTAGTAACCCGGCTAATCATTTTACAAATATGGAAAGTATGGGCTAAAGGTCCGAGGGGGTGGCCCACTGGGCACACCTACATCCTCTTGCTGGCTCCCTGACGGCTCCTCACTGCAGCCTGGGCTAGACGGACCAGCTGGCACCATCAAAGCTCAGAGTGGGTCCAGTCTGAAGGCAGAGAGCCTCTCTTAGGGGTTTGCATCAGAACCAGCCCCTCCTCTTCCTGCCCTTCCCCTTCCTGCCCAAGCAGGGACCCACACCCAAATGGGAGAAGAATAGGCCGAGTCTACCCCTGAGGGGGAGGAGCCAGCTTGACTAGAAAACCCATCAGATCTCCCAATGCCCTCTGAGGAGGGCACCCAGGGGTGAAGTTCTCAGACACAGGGTCTGTGCCTTGCTCTCAAGTTCCTAAAACAAAGGGAGGACAGAAGGCGAGTCTCCCCGAGCCCCATTCCCTCAGTGGTCCCCCATCCAGGGGTGGGTAGGGTGGAGGGGACAAGAAGAGGGGTCACTCCTTCTGAGGCCTCTGGGCTCACAGACAGCTGCCCTTCTGACTTCTATCCTGGGAGTGGGGAAGGTCAGCTTCCCATGTTTACTTTCTGTTCATGAAAAGAGGCCTAACCAGGAGCCGGTGACCAGGGGAGGGAGAGTGCGTATGTGGAGGCGGACAGAGGCCTGCATGGGCCCTAAGGGTGCCAGGAGGTGGGCTGGGGGGACAGTGTCCCTCATGCCGGGGGCCCGTTCTCTATCTGTATCAGTGGAGAAGTGACAGAGAGCCCTGAGAAAGAGCGTAGGTCTGGTCCCAGCTCATTGGAGCCGCAGCCTGGTGCTATCCCCAATCTGCATCCTACAGACTCATCGCAAGCCGGAGCATTCCTCTCATGCTTCATCCCTGTGACCTTTGCCGTGTGACCTTGGGAGAATCCCTTCCCCTCTGGGCCTCAGTTTCCTCATCTGTAAACACCATGATACCATCTGCTCCCAGGTGGCCCTAAGGCTCCTGAGCATCCCTAGGAACTGGATGAAACTAGAACTGAAAGCAGATACGATGTGTCCGCCTCCCAAGTAGCTAGTGGGCTTGATCTTGCTCCTTAAAAAGCCACTACATGTGGACAAATGCTTCTAAAATTAGGGCCAGCTGTTCCACGTGGCTGGCATAGTGACAGCCTGACCATGAAAGAACCGCACCCTCCCTTTGTGGGTACCACCTCTAATTATTATCTATCTATATAAAACCCTAATATGCAAATCGACCGAATGGCAGAACGACCGGTTGCTATGACGCACATTGACCACTGGGGGAAGTTGCTCAATGCATAAGCTGCCCCCAGCCCGCAGGCCCTGATCCAAGGTGGCAGGGGGGATGGGGCCGGTGAGTGGGCAGTGCCAGGCCAGCCAAGGCAGGTGTGAGCGGGGGCCCTGATCGTCCCGCCAGTCACCCCACAGATTGGCCCTGATCACCGGCCAGGCCTACAAACCCTACACATGCATTTTTCGTGCACCGGGCCTCTAGCTGTTAATAATCTTCACATTAAGTTCATAAATGCTCTTTGCACATGATCTCCCTTGGCCCTCACAACAATCGCCCTAAAGAATAAGTCGGACAGGTACACCTCACTTCCCATTTTACGGAAGAGGAAGATGAAGCTCAGCAGTTAAATGACTTTGTGAGGCAGAGCTTTCATTGCTCAGTAAGCACGGAGGCTGGTGACCACATGTCCACGTCTGGTTCATGCCCTGGTCCTAGCCCTGGTTCATGTCTCCTGGTCTGGAATAAATAGGAATAGCACCCCTCTCGTTCTCAGCAGGGATGATAATCATAAGGTCACCCAAACTTTGAGAGAAGAGAGCACCAGGGAGGCAAACTCAGGAGAGGCGGCACAGAGGGGGTGATGCGTGAGAAGAGGGAGGCCGATTGCGGTGAAAACCAAAGGTCTGACTCCACGTGTTGCTCTCACATGACTCCACATCATGGCTAACTAGGGAACATCAGGCTGTGAATGGAACAATCAACTCACCAGCCAGGGTCTATTTCTACAACATCTCCCATTTGTTGAGGGCCTATTTTGTGTCCTTAGATGCTTTATTCACCTTCTTTTCTCAGCCAGTCCAAGAAAAATGTTTATTATCATCCCCGTTTTACGGATGAGGAAACCAGGGCTCAAGAGATGGTTAAATCCAGTCCAAGAAAAATGTTTATTATCATCCCCGTAGATGAGGAAACCAGGGCTCAAGAGATGGTTAAACAGTAGGTAAGTCAGAATCCAGTTCTAACATCAGGTCCTTAATTCTCCACGAATACAGCTCCCTATTAGAGGCTAACAATATTTTGTTCTTAAAACCAATGGAAACCTGTGCTCAATCCCATTAGTAATCAGAGAAGTGCAAGTTAACACCACAGTGAGCTACCACTCCACACCATCAAAATGGTTAAGGTGAACAGGTCTAAGAATGTAGATCGAGGGTTCCGCTCATCAGTGTTGAGAGTACATCAGCAGCGTTGCTTGGAAAACAGTTCAAATTAGCCGATAAGGTTGATGGAACACATCTAAGACCAGGCAATTCCACCCCACACTCACACTAGGAAAAAGAATGAGGGTGTCTTTATTTATTAATTAATTATTCTATTTTGGGAGAGGGCCAAGGAGCATGCTGGGATAGAAACCAGGGAGCATGAAGGGCAAGGGGCTGGGAGCATGCTGGGAGAGGGCGAGGGGGCATGCTGGGAGAAGGCTGGGGAGCATCTTGCATGAAGATGTTCACAGCCTATGGAAATGACCCACATGCCCATCAACACCAGAATCAACA